TTTTCCATGGTCTTTTATATGCTTTCCCCCATCCCCAGACTGCATTCAGAGGAGCAGCACCATGGCCTTCCATTCAAAAGCATTATGAACCATTCTAGCTTTCCTTATTTTTGTGATAAGAAACAAAAACAGAAATAATGTGGCAGCTTTTAGCCAACTTGGTTGATCTCAAAGGAGGGGAGGGGAGGGGAGGGGAGAGAGAACCCTAAGCAAGATTGGACCTGGTTAGGCACACCATCAGGGAGTTCCAGAGTTGTGGGGTAGATTAAAAATAAAAAAACAGAAATAAAGCCCTTTCCAGAACAAGGCAGTGGCAAACCACTCCTAGTCCTAGAGCTTGATTCAGAGATTTTTTAATCTGGGAAAACTCAGAAGACTTGCAAATGGAAGATGCTGCCCAGATTCCTTATAACATTCCCTTGCCTGAGCCAGTCCAATAAAAGCATTATAACTTTAGATCATAGTTCTGTCCTACGCAGAGGTCTAAGTGCAGTCAAGCCCCATTGCTGATTTTGTTGAAAATATGCCAGAATTGCTGATGTAAGTTGTCCCTCCGAAACACTTTGGAATCAATTAATTCACTTGCTAATTAACCAGTTACTGTAAAACCTGCCAAGCGTATGATTCTTTGCTCCCCTCCCTAAATGGAACGGAACCTCTGCACTCTCTTAATTTGGATTATTCTCTAAGTATGCCAGATTGAAATGTGGTCTTTATCTCCAGGGGGTTGGCAGGGAATGTGTGGGGGCTAATCCAAAAATGCGAAGATACACATTGGGAAGATGCTGTCTGAAAAGGTATGTGTGTGCATGTATGTGTTGCGGGAGGTAGAGGCGCTGTTGTGTAACTGAGGCTGCTATAATTTTGTCTGGCCTGTCCTCATTTCTCACCTTCCCCAAGGGGGTGCCCTGCATACTGATAACCAGGTATGGGAAGTTATCTGGGAACTGTAGCTCCCACACAAGCTTTGTTCAACTTTCCTACATAAGAGGGTGACAAGCTTTGTGGTCTATTGGTAAGATTGCTGCAAATGTACCAAAATAGGTCCAAATCTTTTTTTTTTGAGAAATCAGTTCTATAAAACTCTGTTGGATTGGTGTTTAAATCGGTATGGAATCTAGCTACAGCCGTGACATTTTCTGGATAACTGACTGGATAATAAATCATAATATTTCCCCTCATGCCTCCTCTTTATTCCAAAAGTCCACTTAGGAAGAAAAAATAATAAAGCACAGGTACGTTGTTATGCAATCAAGTAAGATTTGGGTCTAGACCTCCAAAGTCAGGTTTCTTGAAATACCAGTTTCATCTTCCCCAACCTGGTGCTCTCCAGATGAGTTTAGACCAGTGTTTCTCAACCTTGGCCACTTTAAGATGTGTGGACTTCAACTCCCAGAATTCCCCAGCCAGCATGCTATAACAGGCTATAACTCTAGATCCCAGATCTGGTAGGTCTCCGGGTTTTCAAAGGCTGGAAGCAGCAGCAGCAGCAGCAGCGGGATGGTCAGAGCCAAACCTGGTGGGGAAAAGTCCAAGATTGCTTTTAGCAGCGATCCCCCATGCCAAGACAGGAGCGCTAGCCCGGCTGATTCTCTTGGGCAGCGAGAGTCTAAATCCGTGTTTCTCAACCTTGGCAACTTTAAGGCGTGTGGACTTCAACTCCCATAGCTGGCTGGGGAATTCTGGGAGTTGAAGTCCTCACGTCTTAAAGTTGCCAAGGTTGAGAAACACTGGTCTGAATGGACCTCACTGCCCCACTACGAGTCAGGCCAAGCTGTCTGAGGATTGTGCGAGTTGTCAACCCACAGGTTAAACTCCGAAGCGGGCGTTCAAGCTAAACTCCGCTCCGAGCGCCAGCAAAAACGCCAAACGAGAGCCCCCCGACGATGCCACGCGTCGCCCCGCCCCTCTCCGAGGGCGGGGCAGGGACCAGGGGCGGAGCCACCTGCCCCGCCCATCCGGCGCACCTGTCTGCCCCACCCCCAGCTCCTTTCCGCCGCGCGCGCGTGTGCTCGCCCCCCGCCGCCGCCGCCGCCGCCGC